TGGATCCAAATGATTTGAGATATCTCTTTAGAGCTAGGTCGCACGAGCTTCGAACGAGATAGTGTAGATGGTAGGGCAATTTGTCGCGTTGGCAGCGGTTTGCGGAGGCAATGAATGCGGTTAGGCCAATGCCGCCGGCGACGAAGACATGCTCACCGGCGTCACTGGAAAGTGGCAAGCTCGGTGTGATCTTCCCGAACCATAACGTATCGCCCAGGTTCAGGTCCTGGTGCACAAAGCGTGATCCTCCACGGCTAGTCTCGCTGAGGGCGACGGCGACCTCGAAACTATTCGTGTCGCCTGCAACGACGGAATACGCCCTAACCAGCTTTTGGTGGCCCAGCTTCACTCGCACATGCGACCCTGGCTTGACCTCCTGGGTCTCCGATAGGGGATCGGTGCGCTCCAGTGTCAAGGAAACAATCCGCGGGGTCTCCTTTTGTTTCTTGACAAGCCTGTAGCTAGACCAGATGTCCATTGCCATGCTATCACCGCCCGTGAGCCGTCCCTCCTGGTTCTCATACTGCTTCTTGAGGCGATTCTCGAAGATGGTACGGATCTCTGCTCCTAGCTCCTCGATTTCAATCAATTGCTTCATGGCCCTCTCGTTCCGCATATCGTGATAGAGGTAGTATTGAACTTTGGCAATGGTCCATTCGGGATGCGGTCGTCGGAGAAGTACCATGTCATCTCCAGCCTGCACTGTGCCTTCTTCGAGAATTCGATACATCCATCCGGTCCGAAAGAGGTCCTGGGAGCGCTTGGACATATCCTTGATCTGGAATCGGTGGTTCAACTTGAAGCATGGTTGACGCGGCAGCGAGACCTGCGCAACAACGGTGCCAATCTGGATGACATCGCCGATACAGAGATTTCGTTCATTGGCATACTTTGCGACGAGATTTTCCCCAAACCCGCCGGGGATAAACAGATGTGCGCTCTCAGGGAGCTCTTCTTCCCATCGACGATAATGGAGCGTGCTGTATTGCAGCAGGGCCATTTCCGGGCCGCCATGGAGCTCGAAGGCGTGTTGATCACCCTCACATCCCAACTTATTGACCGTAACAGGACCTGGTCGGACGTTCTTGAAAATAGCAGACTGCACCTGGATGCCGAAGACAGGTCTTACCCTACCGGTCCTTACTTCAAGCACTTTCTCCGATGCCCATGGCTGTTCGAGCAGTTTGATTGCCTCGACGTCTTCATCTTGGAATATTGCCATGTTGGCACGACCCAAGTCGATTGCCTTTGACAATAAATTTCATCTCTGTAGGAGGAAGGGACATTTTTTAAGGGCTGTCGTCCTGTCTTCCGTCGTTTTTTACCAGTGCCTAGGCTGACTCAAGAGGATTCAAGGTTGCATTATTGGGTGCGTATAGCCCCGAAATGTAGAGGCGCCGTGCCCCTACGACCGAGATGGTAGCGAGGAGGTGAGATGTGTATCTCCGAACCGACGAGTAGTCTGGACCGTCCGGACTTGAAACTTCTAGCGGAGCGAGTAGAACGCTAAATCACCCACTCACAAGCATCTCCCACTTAAGTCTTCATGCTTCATTAGCAGGATTGGCAGACCACAGATAGTATACCGACTGATGCAGTATTTTTTTACTTGACTTAGAATCCTTGACTGGTGGTCGGATTTGGTAGACATAGATTACCGCGTTCTTTGACAATTATGGGAGAGCGTTAGCGGCGCGACAACACCCGCGGAAAATATTCCGACAGCAAAATTAGGTCCGCAAAAGACAACTTCGACCGTTACTTGACCTAAATGGCTCGAAACCAACACAGGGAGAAGAGACGCTGCGAGATTCGAACTCTTTGACTGCCACATGGCAGTCCACCCCAGCTGTCCGACAGGATAAAGCTAGCAGGCTGAAAGCCAATGGCAACTGTTGGAGTGTAATCTCTATTGACGAAGTCTGGTTGCTTGGTGCGTCCGCTGGCCTTGAACTAAGGATTCTTTCTTTGCTCGGCAAATGGCGACAGCATTGGTCTATATTGCGTCTATACGAGACCAGAAAACTTAAAGCCAATTCTCATGTTCATGAGACCCTCCAGCTCCTGATCATGCAATCCAGACCCATGGATTCAATTTCTATTATTCAATCGCGCCAAAATAGTCGGGTGGCGGGTGCAAGCTGCTTCTCATTATATCTCTCGATGCCTTCTCGGCCAGTTTCTGGTTTTCACCGACGTTGTGTCACCGAATTCAGCTGCGTGGTTGCCAAACAAACCAAGGTGCAATGGCTACGAGACGATTGAGCGTCAAATCAGGAACGAAATCCCAGCAGCACACGATTGCCGTCCAGAATGACGATGCAACGCTCGAAAGATTAGGTGTGAAGCAAGAGCTGCATCGAAGCTTCTCATTCTTGTCGGGCTTGGGACTTGCTTTTTCTATCTTGAACTCATGGACAGCTCTAGGCGCAAGCATGTCATTGGCACTTCCCAGTGGCGGTCCTTCCGCCGTTATTTGGGGTCTGGTGGTCGCTGGCATTTGCAACTTGTGTCTGGCGGCGTCCTTGAGTGAGTTCGTGTCCGCTTATCCGACCGCCGGAGGTCAATACCATTGGGTCGCTGTGATAAGTTGGAAACGATGGGTGCCGCTCCTTTCCTGGATTACTGGCTGGATTAACACCGCCGGCTGGGTCGCCTTGTCCGCTGCCGCAGGTCTTCTTGGGAGCTCCCTTATCCTGGGCATTATCTCGCTGATGGACCCGTCTTTTGAACCTCAGCGTTGGCATCAATTCCTCATCTATCTCGGGTACAACATTGTCGCCTTTCTGGTCAACGCTTTCATGACAAGGCTCCTTCCACTGATCACTCAATCAGCATTAATCTGGTCTCTTCTTGGTTGGGTTGTGATTTCGATCACTGTTCTCGCGTGCGCATCACCAAATTATCAAAGCGGCCACCTTGTCTACGGCACCTTCATCAATGAGACAGGCTGGCCGAATGGCCTTGCTTGGCTACTGGGCCTTCTGCAGGGGAGCTTCGGCCTCACTGCATATGATGCTGTCGGTATGTTAAATAATGTCTATGGCCAAAATTTAAGGATACAAAGCTAATGAGAACGTAGCTCACTGCGTAGAAGAGCTCGGAGATGCTGTTGTTCAGGCACCGCGAATCATGATGGGTTGCGTTCTAATTGGTGTCATAACTGGCTTCATCTACCTCTCGATCCTACTCTTCGTCTCGAAAGACCTTGATACAGTGATTACTTCCGCTGCCGGCCCAATGCTGCAGATATTCTATGATGCAACAGGCAACAAAGCAGGCGCCATTTGCTTGCTTATGTTCCCACTCATTTGTTTGCTAGTAAGTGGTTCAGCACATGGGCCCACGGATTCCGAGTCAAGTATCCTACGCTAACCTATTCTCCTTTTCCGAAGTTTGCCGGAATCGCCATCATGACCACGAGCAGCCGAATGGTTTACGCATTCGCCCGAGACGGAGGTCTTCCAGCGTCACGGCATCTAGCCAAAGTCCACAAAGGGCTAGCCGTTCCACTGAACGCCCTCATACTCACAGCCGTTCTTGTCACAGTCTTTGGATTGATTTTCCTCGGCTCGTCAAGCGCCTATAATGCTATCATATCAGCCTCCGTAGTTGCGCTGGGGGTTACCTATGCCATTCCTCCCACTATCAACTGCCTGCAAGGCCGAAAGGCCCTTCCGGAAACTCGAGGGTTTATTCTGCCAAACTCTGTTGGCTGGATTTGCAACTTGGTAAGTTTTACCGCTTGGGGTCCAGAGATACCATTGGGGAGGTTTATGCTGACGGCAACGAGGTGGGAATTGCCTATACCCTGATCACAACTGTGTTGTTCATGTTTCCCCCGTTTACACCTGTAACAGGCAGTAACATGAACTACTGTGTTGCGGCCTTTGCAATTGTATTGGTCGTTTCCGTCGTCCAGTGGTATGTCGACGGCCGGAAGAACTACACCGGGCCCCGCCTCAACCTGGAAGCGCTCAAAAGTGGGGAGGTCATAGGGATGGCACCTGTTGAGGTTACCCAGCATCAAGGAGTTTACTACACAGGAGGCAAGGTTGCCACTCTACCCAACGAGATGCAATAACTTGGTAGAAGACGGGAATGAGCTTGGCGCCTCTTCACAACGAGCCTCTGGAAAAGGAAAAGCGGCAGAGTTTGACAGAAGTAGACACCCTCCTAGAATCCAGCTAGTCACTAAATAGCGATAAGATAATTAATGGTATTAATAAGGATAGGGATACCATTATGCCCAATGAGGTTACCCTTAAGACACTGGTGAATTCCTCCTCGTTACTATTTCTCGTCAGACTGTACCACTTCTCGCTCTGGATGATCGAGGAAGAACTAGCGAGTTATTTTCCCCATTTCTCGGGCAGCTGGTCAAAGTAGGTATAGCGAGAAGGTCGTTCGATCTAACTTTTTAGCCTCAAATTAGCTTGTTGTGGGCCTTTGTCAGGTGCAAGGGCCCCCGGAGCGCACAAGAGGAAAGAGCAAAGACGGCCCCGCCACTGTCCGCTGCGCCATCTTCGAACTTTGCATGATTCCTCGCCAACCTGCTTCCGCTGATCACAGTTCTGCCCACCTGGGTCTCCCTCATGATATGTCTGCTTGTATGCCTATGTTCGAACATCATTTGCAAATACCTTATTTGAACACCACCGTCAACCTCTCCGAAATTGCACTGGAATCCAACTGCATCATCTTGGTCATGCTCGCATGACCAAAGCCCGTGGCGCGTCCGCAGCGTTGCAAGCCCCCTCCGAGTCTCGGTGCATCGACAATGTTGGAAACGGAGTTGTTTGTTGGCGATTTACAACTACTGCAACGGTAGTCGCGGCATGTCCACTGATGCTTCCATCAGTGCTCGCCAACTATGGGGCCAGTCGAGCACCACCCACACTAGTCGGACAGTGACTGATTCTTGGTGCACGCCTTTAATTCTACCCAGTGGAGGTGTGTAATAACTACAGAGTCCTGCATATATGTGAGACCAGTCGCTGATGCAGAAGACAGGCATCTTTATCTTCAATGACGATACAACAACTACTCTCTCGGCTAAAGTCACCTTCAAGCTCCCCTGCGAAAACCCCGAATCCATCATCAGCCCCGATACCACAGGCAACTCGTCAGTTATTGGCTTCTCCAACCCGTTCTATGCCTCGATATCACCCCAGATATTCGCCCTTGCCACCGCGACCGTAATCAGCTATATTCTCGTCATCCTCATTTTCATCACCCCGAGGACGTTCTATGTTGGAAGTCCGGGAGCAGGCGGCGCCCGCTTTCTGGGTCGGCGTGGCATGATAACAGGGTCATACGGATCGTCCTCTATCGTCGGCGTCGGACGGAGACCACTACTACAAAAGATTGCAGCCGTCACAGTGGCAATTTCTCTGACAATTGCCACAGCAGACACATTCCACGTTGCAGAGGAGCAATACAACGAGGGATATATCGACTCCAGCCTGTTGGTTGACAATGTGGTGGATAGTTTGGAAATTCGCATCATCCGAGTCATCTCAGACACGTTCCTGTGGCTGGCACAGGTGCAGACGCTGATACGCCTGTTTCCGCGGCATAAAGAAAAAGTCACCATCAAATGGCTCGGGTTTGCCATGGTATCCTTCGACACAATTTTCAGTATTTTGGATTCTTTTGTCAGTGGCAACCCAAGGACCAGGCCGAGGAGCTTTTCAGACGCTATTCCCGCCCTGAATTATTTGTTCGAACTGGCGATTTCGCTGATCTACGCTTCTTGTGTAGTGTATTACTGTCTATCGAAAAGGCGATTCGCATTCTGGCACCCGAAGATGAAAAATATCTGCTTGGTGGCACTTCTGTCGCTGGTCTCGGTTGTGATCCCGGTCGTCTTTTTCATTCTGGACATATCGCAACCGGATTTGGCAGGATGGGGTGAATATATTCGGTGGGTGGGTGCTGCAGCCGCAAGTGTCGTTGTTTGGGAATGGGTCGAGCGAATCGAGTCGTTGGAGCGAGATGAAAGGAAGGATGGGATACTTGGACGGGAGATCTTTGACGGCGACGAGATGCTTAATATGACACCTTCGGAGGACGCAAGCTGGCGCGGGGATGATTCGAGGCCTTATCAAGATGGCAGTGGGCGTAAGGGGATGGCGGAAGGCATGGTCTCCCGGTATCAGCGCCTTCGTGCCCGGCTGCCGCTGCGAAGGAGGCGGAAGAGACTTCCTGCAGACGGCATCGCCACTGGTACGGATGCAACTGATGCAATTGGTCAAGCCGTTGGGGTATCACAATACGTTATTCCTCCACAGGTTATAACGCCCCCCAGCAGGAGTGACACAGGAAGCGCTGCGAGCACGGTCTATGCCGTACGATACCACAACTTGACGAGTCCATCGCCAAACCCACAAGCTGATTTGCGGACCCACCCTGAACAGTCTACCACTCTTGATGCTTCCAAAGTGTCCGGCGACTCTGGGTCTTCTCCCTCTGATGCGGACAAGGAACTCGCTTTGGAAACAGTACTTCCCAGAGCACCAGAGCCTCAGGGACGCAGCATTTGGCAGGCAATGCCGAACCCCTTTAAGCGACGGCGATCTGATCCTCCAGCGGAAGTCGCCGACGCTCAGAATGCGACAGGCGTGCGGCGGTCACCAATCGACCGCACCCTCAATTTAAGAGATCGAGTTGGAGCATTTGCTACTGCGCAAAGAGAGCGACTTGCTAGTCGAGGAAATGTACTCGCATCGGCTTTGCCAGTCACAGTCATTCCAGCGCCAAAGAGTAATGGTAGGACATGGTCCCCAGACGATATTCGTGAGCGGTCAACAGACGACAATTCTACCCGCAGAGAAACCGCAGATACCTCGAGACAGCGGCCAGGCAATCCTGCAGGAAACTCGAGCGCGCATGACTCGGCCCAAGTGGTGGACGTCTCCGGACCCTTAGAGGGTCGAACCTGGATTCCAGCTGAGGCACATATCCGCTCTCGCATCACTCCAGGGCCTCAACGCTCTGATGGCGCCGCATTTCCTCCCAACCCTTCGGAGAGTCTCGTTGAGGTTCAGCGAGTTCCTCCGCAAATTTACTTTCCTCGAGGCTCACTCACTATCTCCGAGTCAGAGGCCAGAGCTAGCCGGATGGCTGATCCTTTCAGTGCAGCTTTGCCAAGGTCTGCAGCATACGTCCGACCCTCAACCATCACGCCAATCGCAGAGGACACAGCCGACGAGGTGGACAGTGACCTCTCAGGACCCAGATCACACCAGCCGGAGCCCTCGAAGCCCCAAGCGCAAGAACAGATGGCTGAAACCACCGACGAGCCTCGACATGTCGACATGGAATCATCTACTCATGATGCCACTGCTGAGAACTCCTCGTTGGTGATAGTCACAGCGAATCAGGTCCACGATGAGGAGGAGCGTGCTTCGCAAACAGAGACGACTCAGGATGCTGATGGAAGAGACACTGGTGGCACGACGACGCAACCCATTTAGTTGGTTGCAATGACTGCGCGTGTGTGACATACACTATTTAATTTTCTCACTTCACCCATGGTGAAACAAACAGGTGGAAGGGCAAGCAGGAGGCTGTGCTTTTCTTCTTTACCCGGCGACTGGGTATACTTGGTATTCAAAAGTAGGTGCTGTATGCACCGACGTAGTAAATTTTTGCTGCGGATCACAGAGTGGGTGATCAGCAGATATGACGATTGGCTCCAAAATGTTCTGCCTGATAGTGCGTCGTACATAATAATCGTTTACTGAGAGTGCAACGAGACTGCGCACGCCACTCGAACTAGGGACATGTGTTGACCATCTCAATCGTTGCTTCTTTCCTCAATGATGTTACAGCATGACTTCGCGCGAAAATCATCTGTATAGCAATGGTCCCGAAGTACAAGGCGCATTCGGCGTCGACACGCTCCCTCTCACCACAGTTGCCCATATCATCTCCTACCTGGAAGACGATGTCGCTTCCCTTGCGCGACTATGTCGCACCTCACGCGTCCTTTGGTACATGACACTCCCGCATCTATGGAGAAACGTCACACTGAAATCATACCGCACTATCCGCTATAAGGACGAGGTACCCGAGGGATTTGGGAGTGCAAGTCCTTTCTCTATGGGACTCAATGCCTTGGTAACGAGAAATGTGTCGAGTTTGGTTCGCTCACTGAGCTTGGAGGGGGAATATAGTGCCTCCGATCTTTACGAATATTCAAGAGCTGGTCGTGTTTCTGAGAGTATTATGATGCTGAACATCGCCCTGCGGGCTGCCATTGACAAATGTACCCATCTCGAACGGTTCCGATGGGATTTGGACGTCAGGATACAACCAAACATGTATGGTGGGCTGGCGAAGCTCTCTCGACTCGAAGAACTTTGGGTCCGTTTCCCTACGAATCGCTCTCCCCAACCGTCTTACGATATCCCACCTTTACCAAATCTCAAGTCCTTGACAATAACACACTACGACCCTCTATGTTTTCCCGACGACATTGCCACCCTGCTCCTCCACGCAACACGTCTCTCGAGCCTAATCATGCATTTCTCCCCTCGTATGCGTGAGCAAGGGGAACCGTCTGTTGTGCTTACGCATTTCTTTCGGAAAAATGCTGCCGCAAAACGAAAACTTCGTTTGCGTAAGATGGGCCTGTATAACCTTCTCGCCAACGCGGACACGGTAGAGTGCCTCGCTGCATTCGATACGAGCACCGTTGAGGATGTGACAGTGTTGAATACATTCGGGGCGGATGAGGATGCCCTTATAGCGGGGAGGGAAAGCACAACTCATTTCATGGATCGCACATGGCATGTGATGGTGAACAGCAAGGAACATCAGCCGAGACCCAAATCTCTGAGGCTAGATCAATTGCATAAGAGACATGCGATGGATTTGGCCCAGTTTGTTGGACTGGAGAGGTTATACCTCGTGAATGCAAGGTATAGACCAAGCAAATCAAACGACACAGTGGCAAAATGCAACAGTCAAGGCCGCAGCAACGGTGTCGGCGCTTTGGATTCTGCGTCTCCTTCTTCTGAGCACTCCCCTTGGTCTGGATCAATTGTCAACGGAAACGCCTCTGCTAGGAATACACCCGGCCCGCCCGCTTCCTATTCAGCCACAACCTCCTTGAGGGACCTATACATCACCAATATCTGCACCATATGCGGTCCTACCCTTCAACACCTGATTTTACCTGCCCGTTGGCCTCTCCCGACCTCAATAACCGCCCGTCTCATCCGCTCGTGCCCCAATTTAACACAGCTCGCCGCCGCCATCGAGTGTGCCGAGGACTCCCAGATCGAGATGCTGCGCTTATTAGTGCCATTCCTGAGTGAACTATGGGCCATCCGTGTGCTTACACCTTCGTATTCACCGGACTGCGCACTGGGTGGAGAGGATGGCAGGAAAATTAGAGAAGCGCACGACAAGTTTGTGTGTCTCCCAGATTCTATGCTCGAGCAGAAGATAAGCGAGGCTTTGACCGAGCATAGTAGATTGGGTGGACTTGAGCAACCGGATTTTCAAAAATTGAGGTACATCGGGCTAGAGAGCAAAGTTTGGGAAATTGGTGGAGTGGTAGAGGACATTGTTCGACGAGAAGTCGATCCGGGAGAGGATGCGCGAGAAGTCGACGGGCCCAAGGAAGAAACTGTGTATCGGCGGCGGGTGAGGAGAATCGAGGAGAAAGACGTGCAACATGTTGAGATATGGAAGATGGATTCGCTGGACATTGTTTGACCTAACAGGGTTCGACAGAGCTTCCTCTGGTCTTGCAGGGCCACAAGCATCCCATGTCCCACCGTTCTCTTGATGAGTGGAATGGACGTGTCGTCTGGGTTCACCAGGAGCAAACCTGACGGGTGTTGCTGCAACACATCGATAACTTCGACCCTCACCTCTTGCTCGTGTCTGTGGGTCAAAGCTTTCGCCGTGGAGAATACAGGCGGAAAGTAAATGCATCTTAAACACCGAGCATGGCAGTGGCATGCCCTCGTGTTCAGGGTTACCTGTCCTCGATATAATGTTGGAAGGGAAGGAAATGAGTAAGCACACTGATGATGGCTAGCTACAGGACGAATTTATGGAAAAGGGAAAAAGGAATATGGCAAGTTAGTTCTTAGACTGGACTGGGTAATTGGCAAGGTGGGAAAAAGCATTGGGACCAAGACACAATACAATGTCCTTGGGTTTTGTGCATTACATATCCTCCATTTACGTGGTTGTGAAGGGATTGAGGATGATTTGTCCCCATCTGCGAAAGATAGCCCGGACCAAGATCGATCAATTGTCTTTTGGCTGAACGTTATCCATAAGTGATAACCAAGGTCCCAGAAATGCAATGCTAGTCGCCTTGGGGGACTCGGCTAGCTAGCTATCGGCATAGATCAATTGGGCATCAGAAGTCTCGTGCATGACTCGACCTCTGGCAGCACTGACATGTATGCACTGGGCGAATTCGTCCCACAAAAAGGACTTTCTCGTGATAGTCTCGGGCTGCCCTGATTAATAACGTGGGTAATCGCGTCGATAGCCGTCGTCTTCATCGACTGCGGGACCAAAGGCCCGTTGGCACTTGAACGACCACCACTTCGATAGCGCGTAGTAGACATAATTATCGGCATTGTTGGTGGATGGGAACGCCACGAGAGGTTGCATGGGGAGGGTGTTGACCAGCATGGCGTGAAAGGGACCATAACCATCCGGCGGGAACGGACCCTTCCAGTCATCGATCACGCGTATGAGTTCCTCGTCCAAGGCAATAAAGTGCTCAAACTGCGGAATGTCCTCGAAGAGGTAGGTCCAGTGGAAGAGCTCATGCAGCATAATCCCGCTGAGGCTTATCATGTAGTCGTTGTCGTGATCAAGGCAGATTGTCACACCCATACCCGGGTTCGGGAGCTCCAGTGGGATCTCTTGCCCAGGCTGGCGGATTTTCAATGTCGGCGAGTGATGGGTGACTGAAGGCGTAATCGCAGAGGGACATGAAGCCTGGTGGCCCCAGCTCGTCAATCCGCTGCTCAAAGTATGCCTGAAAGCCCGGCATGACTGAACACATTGGATCGTATCTACCAATGGCGCTGTTGTCGTTGATGGATATTGTCAAGAGGTCGAACTTGGGGTTGACTTGGTTCTGCCCGAAGCCAGAGATGAATTGGTTGATATCGGTCGGATCTGGAGGAGGGCCATCGAGCGGGATGTTGGCGATGGTGTAGAACGCGTTCCTGACAAAGACGGCTTCCTCTGGTTTGAAATAGCGGAGGTACACCTGGATTACCATGTCAGCCTGGCATGTTATCGCCACCACGAAGCGCAGATTCATTTCACTCACAGGTTCGCAAGGGTTGAAGGTGACCGCGACCAGTCTCGCGAGCATTAGGGCTTCATGGAACCCCCAATGAAGGTCATTCTGTCGCTGTTCGGGGGTTTCGGGCAAATCCTCCTGGTTGACGTTGCCGTTACCCTGGTTGTCAAAGCGGAATCGAGGACCGTGAATCTGACATAACGCGATCCGAGCAATGAGCAAGAAGGAGACTGTTGCTGACAGGTAAGGGAAAAGCCTGAGCAAACGCATGATTCGAGAACAGGAAATCAAGGTGCTTGAATCAACGCGTCTTGATCCGATCTTCCATCTGGGGGGGTTTTTCCGGTACGCGTTTGTTCTCGCACTATGCTTTTCTCTTCCTCTTTTATACCCGTCAAGGAGGGAATTTCTTCAAGGCTGTACTTTGGGTGAAGTGAAATCTTGCATCACTTGGTGACATGACACTTTTGCCCGATCGGCTACCTGCGCAGTGAATGGGCATCTTTTCAACTCCATTATCGATGGGATGTACGTGATTGTTCATGATGTCTGCTGTATTCTTGTGTCAGGTGATACCTGTATATCGGAAGCAGATAGTTGTGGCTGGCGAGCCAGAATCCGTTGTCAATGGAGCATTTCCGCCCCCGAATTCTCGGCGCCGAAAATGGGAGACACAAAACTCCAAAATAAATAAAATCTGCACCTTCAATTTCTGCTCTTCCCTTCCTTTGTTGCGCGACCTCCACGGCACAATGAAACCCTTCTTAGGAACCCCCGCCGCCTGACCCTCTCAGACCAATGTTGAAGACTTCGAGCATTATGCGGTTGAAGTGTGTCAAGCATGGCGTCCTTCACCAGAGCTCCGCGCAATAAACATCAGGTTTCGAGCTTTGTTAGACGTATTCTGATCTTGATCGCTTCTATCTATGCTAGAGCTGGCCGTTTTATTTTACCCCAAAGCGAGCCAGTGTGGACAGGGAAGCTAGAAAAGTACCAGGTCTCGAATCACGGCTAGAAGACGAATGTCTATCTGGTCGCGAGGCTTCCACACATCTCTACTGTCGCGACCCGTCATGGGTTGTGGTCTGATTTTATGTGGACACATTGTTGTTTCGATCTCTCATCGCTTGTTATACAGTCTGATGTCAATCATATCTACATAGCCCCTGGTCCAAGGTCATTGAAAAACACCTGCCCGGGTCATAATAGCCTGGAACTCGTCCATGTTCACGCCCCTACCGACACCCTTGCCTCCGTTCGCCTCCAGTATCATGGCTTTCAATACGTCGTCATCAACTTGCTCGTTCAACGTTTTCGCCACAGCCCGCAAGTCCTGTAGTCGAATCACCTGCTCTTGTACGCCGGCACCTTGACCAGGATGGAAGAGATTAAAGGCTGTCTCGACTTCTTCTGCTTTGGTCTCATCCGTCTTGGATTTCAGTTGAATGGCACACAAGGCCAGGAAATGCGGGTACGTCACGTAGCCTTCCGATTCAGGGTCAAGTGTTTCGATGAATTCTTGCATCTGTGATTTACTACTTGGAGCTAGGCCTTGTGCTCTGACAGAGGAGAAGGCAGTCAGATATAGAATGCAACATGGAATCGTTTCCCGACTTACTTCAAGACGTGTTGCACATCATTCGTCTGAATGACACCTTCCTTTTCTTCCTCGTATCCGTCGACATCGCCTAGAGAAAAGAGGCTCCATGCTTCTTTGATCCTAGCCTCTTCTTCTGCCGTGATATCATTCTCCTTTGCAAGCTTTGACCGGCGTACTTTTGGCGTAGCAGGTGAATTTGCATCTCGGCTAGACCTAACAGCGGCCTTGCCTTTGGCTGGGGTCTTGCGGGGAGGCATGGGGAACTGTCACGGCAGAGCAAGGTCCTGCGCAATACAGTCCATTAGCTGCCGGTCAAATGCAAATGATCTATTTTCGTCCGCCTGCGCCGAGTCTAGAGCGAGGTAGTTGTTTAGATGAACAGCCTTGGGACAGGGGAGGGGTGGTGGATGGAATCCATCGTCGCCACGATGAAAAAGTTGCGTGTTTGATGACGCCACATATTTTCAGCCTTGACTCGAGTGGCGGTGACGAGGCTGCGGCGGCACAAACACCAGCGGCGGCTTACGTATCTTTTGCCGCCTTCAACGAACTACACACCACACGAACACCACAAATACCTTGACTGTACCTTGTGCACATAAACCAGTCTTCAGTCTGCATGATGTGATAGCCGCGTCCCATCTTTTCTCCCCCACAGCATGGAGGTCGAACTGTACATCTACGATCTGTCACAGGTAATGTTCTGCCCGTACGGAGACAACGCCAGCACCAGCTAATGGGCATCAAGGGCCTCGCCCGCCAATTCTCTCAAGCCTTGACAGGAACTCACATTGACGCCATTTATCACACAGCAATCGTCTTCAATAATGTCGAGTATTTCTTCGGCCAGGGCGTGCACCGGAAAGTTCCTGGCTCAACCCACCATGGACGACCGATTAAGATCGTGAGTCTGGGTCAGACCCAACTGCCCCTGGATGTCATCGACGAGTACATCGAGTCGCTGGAATCAATCTACACGCCTGAGTCGTATGACTTGTTCCTGCACAATTGTAACAACTTCACCCAAGACCTCGCCATGTTTCTGGTCGGCAAGAGTATCCCTGATGAGATTCGAAGCCTGCCACAGACCTTTTTGAATACTCCGATTGGACAGATGTTGAGAAGCCAAATTGATGAGTCGATGAGAACCATGACCCAGGCACCCGATGCTGTCGCAGGTCAAAATGTTGGCCACAATCATTCGGCTGCGCAGCAAGCCTCGAAGACTGATCGCAACGGTGTTTTGGCCTCTGCGTCACCTAATGGATCCTATCATAGACTCACGGCGCCTACAATTATCAATGCACAACCGCCCGCAGATAGCCCGGGCAAGGTTCACAATATCACCACACTCTCTGAGTTGGATTCCCTGCTCTCCTCGGCTTCATACTCGTGCGCCGTGCTGTTCTTCACCTCAGCGACATGCCCGCCTTGCAAGATCGTCTATCCTACCTATGATGACTTGGCTGCTGAAGCGGGCACGCGTTCCGGCGCAAAGTTAATCAAGATTGATATTTCGGCGTCGCCTTCTGCTCATGCAGTCGCACAACGATATAGTATTCGCGCGACACCGACATTCATAACATTCCTCAGAGGGCAGAAACAGGATGAATGGGCAGGTGCAAACCCGTCACAATTAAGAGGCAATGTCCAGTTGTTGCTGCAGATGGCAAAGCCCCAACCCCATCAGCACTTGAAGTTGAGGTTGCCGACGTTTCAACGTGTTATTGAAACACCGATTCTCTACACAAAGACGCCGCCTCTCGATAAGCTGCTCGGGAAATTGGGCAAAGCTTTCTCAGATGAGAAATCGGTGCAGAGCCTCGTGAACTACATCAAAATGCGAGACGCAAAGGGTATGACGGAAGCTGCACTCCCGGATCTACACTCCTTCAGCGAACACATTGCCTTGATGGTTCCAAGCCTCCCTAAAGAGTGCCTCTTTGCAGCCATCGATCTTGTTCGCGTGACGGCGGTCGATCCTCGCGCAGCAAGTTTCCTGACTACCGAACCCGAACATCGCACACTCTCAACTCTCTTCAGTACAGCCCATATCTCACAAGGCGATTTCGCAAACGCGCCATACAACGTTCAATCTGTCACCCTCCAGCTTGCGTGTAACTTGTTCTCCTCAAATGTCTTCCAGGAGCACGCCTTCAGCACTCACTCCTCTCCATCTCCTCCCACCAGCGGCGACCTGAAGCAGAAGATAGAAGACCTTGCAGCACAGTGCCTGCTATCACCACATCTGAATTCGAGGTCTTTGGCTGCCGCATTGGTATATAACCTTGCGAGCTGGTCCCATAATGAGCGGATGCATGCACACAACTCTCAACCTCCGTCCCCCGAGACAACCGCGGAAGAGGGGGGAGCAGTGAGCGACGACCTCGCAGCCGCTTTGTTGGAGAGCATCTCGTCTTTGCCAACACTCACTCCTGTCCCAAAACCGGCACCTTCGGGCGGCGGTAGTGTCAAAGACACCCTGCACGCCCTTCTCCTCGCTCTGGGCATGCTCCTCTACTCCGCTCCAGCTGGAGATATGCTTTGGGACCTGTGTCGGGCGATGGAGCTCGGGGATGTTTTGGAGGAGCTGGGCAAGAGGGACGATTGTAAAGGAGAGGCCCTGTTGAAGGATGTCGGGGAGCAACTATTGGGCAAAGGTGGGTTTTGACTGCTGAGTGAAATTATGGGAGATCATTAGACATACCATCGGCGGCGGAGTGTTTGAATTCACTTGTTAGACAGAAGATAGAAGAAGACGACGGACTCGAGGAGAGGAAGGCGGATAGATCGCTAGCTGTGACAATCATTGACAAGAAGCGATCGCTCTGCGTTATGCGCGCAAGTCAAAGTTCTATGTATCATTCTAGACCCTATGAGCGAGTTTGCGCAGGGCTTTCGATCCCGGTCTATGTATACATTGAAGAGGCAAACGGCGTCAAATCTTACACCATAACGCAATATAAATCATGCTGAACCATGTCCTGTTGCACCCATCCCGGTCAAGACCATGTAGAACCCATCCCCGAGACCATCAAGCAATATTAGAAATCTCACAATGCGCCTCCGGATGATGGCACCTTTGTGGTGTCACGTAACCTCTTTGATGCGACACTGCCAACCACTCTCCTTCTCCAGCAGCGGCAAACTCGCGCCCAAACACCATCCCAGTTCGTTGCCCTTGATCTTCTTTGCAATCTTAACCTCTCTATCAATAGGCATTTCATAGCCTGTGTGCAACAGCGCCGACATAAAATTCAAATCCAAACACCACTCGGGCCTCTCGCGGAGATCGTCCAGGGCACCCTCGATTCCGGCAAACGCATCCCACGATTCTTCTCCGCCGCAGACTCTGGCGGTCAGATCTTGTAGTTCGCGCAGAGTAAATGATTCAGGCATACCCAAGTCGTGCGTGCGGTCATAGAAGTACGAGAAGATGTAAACATCCTCCCTAGCAAAGGTCTTTTCGAGAGACGGTTGATGCACGCCGTTGAAGGAGCAAGGGGCTAGCGTGCATGCTTTGTCTTTGTACAGAATGGCTTCGGCGAGGGCTCGACATTGAGCTGGGATAGCGTCGGCGGGACCCTCCATTATCACTGTATGTTCTCCTGACAATGGGTGATCCGCAGGCATCTCGACAACGACTTTCTTCTGTACTCCAGGAGTGATG